GAGAACTAAAAATTGAACTACCTTATGATCCAGCAATCCCACTACTGGGTAAATACCCAAAGGAAATGAAATCAACATATTGAAGAGACACCTGCACTCTCATGTTCACTGTAACACTATTCACAGTAGCCAAAGGATGAAATCAACCTAAATGTGCCCATCAATGGATGAATGGATAAAAAACTGTGGTATATACACACAATGGAATGCTATTCAGCTGTAAAAAAATGAAATTCTGTCATTTACAGCAACATGGATAAAACTGCAGACAATTGTGTTAAGTGAAATAAGACAGACACAGACAAATACTGCATGATCTCACTAATATGTGGAATCTAAAAAAAAAAAAGTGGTTCTCATAGAATTCTCATAGAAGTAGAGAGTAGAATAATGGTTATTAGAGGCCAGGAGGGAAGGGGCGGGGTCTGTAGGGGAAGTGGTGGATTAACGGGTACAAAGCTATGCTGTCTATCCGTTAAGTGAATCAATGCACAGTATGTGCATGTATTGAAACAACACACTGTGCCCCACAAAAATATACAAATAAATGTTAAAATACAAAAACAAAAAAGATGCTTTGAGATAACATTGTATTTCCATACATTTTTACATGCTATATTTACATTTTATTAAATTTATTTTCTAAGTCAGTTGTCAAGAGAATATTTTTAATTCCCATTCAGCTGTGCTCTCTAATTCTATATTTATTATTTCTAACTTTACTGTATTGTGTCCTGTGACTAAAGTATGTAGAATTTCTGCTTTTTTTATTCACTAAGGTCATTTTTATTTTTTAATTATGTAAATAATAAATGTGAGTGATTTATGTACACTTGTAAAGAAACTGTAATTTCTTGTTCTGCTCACTAAGTTCCTTTCATTTGACAGCCTAGTGTACATTATTTATTGTATTACTTAGCTCCCTACTTTTTTAAATCACTTTTTTGTTTAGTAGATTTGTCATATTCCAATAGCAGTGTTGAGGTCTCCAGTTACATTATATAGCATGAGGAGTATATCTCAGGCACGCATCTTGAGACCATATGATTTTCATCCATAAAGTGCAATGATAGTATAACTAAAAATTTCCTTTATACCATTAATGGGGTTAACCATGCATAGAGAGGGACAAGACCAAGTTTACATTTTGATGTGGTTCAGTTCATTCACTAGCTAAGTGACTTGCTTTAGCAAAATTAGAATTGCCCACATGTCATGGTCCTTTTGGGTTCATCCATTCAACAGTTATTTCTTGAGTACCAGCAATGAGTCAGGCACTGGGCTAAGGGGTGAGGATACAGAGATGAGCTACACACTCATAGCCCCTGTACTCATGGAGCTTTAGCGTAGTGAAGCTTGCTTGGAGATTGTTGAAGCTATGTTAAATCTATAAATTCCAAAGTTTTACTCTAAGTTTAAAGTTTTCCTCAAACTTCATCAGTTTTTCTTTTATGTAGTTTTATGCTATCTTATTTAGCTTATTAGACTTTCAACGTGTAGCATACTTTTGACCCATGTACCCTGACTTTATTGATCTCATTAATGCTTTTCTTCTATGAAATCTCCTATAAAACTCCTTCTTTCCATCCTAGAAATATGCCTTTAGTGGCTATCAAATGCTAAGGCACTGCTGTAGACATTGGGAATGCTACAACAAATAAGACATCGTTTCTGTTCTCAAGAATCTCTCAAACTATTAGGAAAGACTTGCTTAGAAGCAAATAATTATGCTGTAATATAATACGGTAAATGCCATAGTAGAGCCAACGAAAGGCTGTGGAAGAATGAGGGAAGGGGTGATTTATTTTGCCTGGTGAGATCTTCATTGAGGTGGTATTTGATGAGGACTAAAAGATGAATAAGCTTTACCATGTAGAGAGAACATGAACACAGGAAAAGCGATGTGAAAATATTCAGAAAACTTGATGTTGTCCAGTGTACTTCTTTAGATTATGATAGGGAGTGATTAGAGATAAGGCTGAAAAGATTAATAGAGCTCAGAGTGTGGGGGGCTTTTGTTGGCTTTCATGATGCACCAATCAACTACCATGTGTAGGGGAGGAGTTAAACTTCCTGACTGATAGCCTGGGTCCAAAAACCTATGACCAAGTACAGCTCTTCCCTCTGTGGGGCAACCCTCTGGACACCACTCCTTTCTGCCTCCATGATTACCTCAGACAGATCCCTGGCTATTCGGTCCTCTATGGGTCACCATCCTGGCCACTCTTTGGAAATGTTCCTTCCCACCCTCACATTCCATGATCAAGTCCTACTGATTAGTTCTCTTGATGAGGACCACATACGAAGTCACTGTGACATCCAGAGTATGGAGCAAACACTTAGAGTATTAGGGTATCTCAAAAATATTCAGAGAGAGGCAGGGGGAGGGAGAGGGAGAGATTGCAGTGTGGGGGAGTGGGGGAGGAGAAAAGATATCGGGAAAGTGAATTTTTGAGGAGGAGCAACTGGCTGATGCTAATAAGAAAGCAAAGACTTAAACTGCCATCCCTCTATTCTTTAATTCTTCCAGGGAGCCATGAACGTGAAACAGACGGCCTCCTTCCTATGTGTGCCCTTGAGACTTTTCTGGAAAAACTCTGCTCTCATTTCCCTTTCCTGGAAGAAACAACCAAAACAGGTTGGAACAATTCAAACCAGTTCCCCTTTTATTCAATTACCTTCTGATCAACCCCATACAAGGTTTTAATCCACCCTATGAGTCCAACTTCACCTACAAAGGCTTCTTCCAATCTGATAGGCTCCCAAGCCAAATCAGCCACCTTCCCTATATTACCAGCAGCCTTCTGTGCCATGCTAAGGAGTTTGAACTTTATCCTGTAGGTCAGCACTTACAAGACTGTATTTAGAGGAACTCTAAATGTTCCATGAGATGTTTCTAGGTGTTATTTGAAACCAGGCTTCCTTTGTCAGATAAGTTTGCAAAATTACTCCCTTTTGGAAAGTCACAGTGCCCATTACTGTATTTAAGACTGAAAATACTTCAATAAATACATCTGTTTATTTACCACAGAACCGTTTTTTTTCTGTGCAATATTCATTAACATCTAAGGAACAATAGTGGTATCTAGAGCACAATTCAGGATATTCTGTTAGAGGCATGATAGGAGAGATAAAGGATTTTAAGCGGGGGAGTGACAAGACAAATTTACGTTTTAGCAAGATTGCCCTGGAAGTTGTATGATGGATGGGTTGATTAGAGAGTTTACTAGAGGGAGTGGCAATAGTCTACGAAAGTTGATGACAGTCTTGACTAGGTTATGACAGTGGAGAAGGAGAGGAGACAGGTTTGATTAATATTAAGGTGATAAAATTGATAGGACTTGGTGATAAGATGTGAGGTTGGGAGGAGGGAGATGATTCACTTGGTATTGGGTATGTTGAGGTTAAGGTGCTCGTTGGAGATTGGTAAATCGGATATACTGGGCTGTGGCTTATAAGAAAAATCTGGGTTAGAAGTAGATATTTTAGACCTGAAGCAGTGTAAAATCAGAGAAGGGGGGGGACCCCACCGAGACCCCATATGTAAAGGTTAAGCAAAGGAGAAAAAGGCTAGTAGTCTAAATGGTCTTGTAACTTTTGGTCATTTGCTGTATTTTTAAGTGTGTCTCTTGTTGGTTGCCTTGTGAAGGAAGAGACATCTGTGTTTTTTGTTTGTTTGTTTGTTTGTTTCCTTTTTGTCTTTTTTTGTGTCCGGCAACGGGATCGCAACCCTCGGCGCTGCCCCCGCACCTCGCTCAGCCAGTGAGCGGGAACCGGTCTGTATGTGGGATCCGAACCGTCGGTGGGAGTGCCGCCACGCTTCCCAAGCGGCGCACTGTAACAGTGCACCACCGGGCCGGCCCGAGACATCTGTGTTTTTATTTACTCTTTTGGAATTCTCAGAATACAGCTTTAAGAAGCACTCTATGATTTAAAACATAGAAACCAAGTGATTCCCCACAGTAGGTTATCAGGATGGTTGCGAATACTTCGGGATCATGAAGTCAGACAATCATTATGAGCACAAAGTGACTTATGTGAAATGCCTATGCCAACTGAAAAATGATCCCTAGTAAGATGCTTTTTGTTTATCCTAAAGGCATGCTTGTCGGTGGTGTGGGCATAAGGTGAGCTTTTATATCTGGGGACAGCAGATTACCACACAAAAACTTGAACATGAAAGTTTATAGCAGCACGATTCATAATAGCCAAAAAGTGGAAACAACCCAAATGTCCATCACCTGGTGAATGGATAAACAGAATGTGTTGTATATGTACAATGGAATATTATCCAGCCTAAAAAGGAATGAAATACTGATACGTGCTACAACATCCATGAACCTTGAAAACATTATATTAAGAGAAAGAAGCCAGTCACAAAAGACCACATATTGTATGATTCCATTTATATGAAATGTCCAGAATGGGCAAATCCATAGAGACAGAAAGTAGATTAGTGGTTGCTCGGGAGTTGCGGGAGATGGAGGAATAGGTAGTAACTGCTAATGTGCACTGGGTTTCTTTTGGGGGTACTGAAAAACATTCTAAAATTAGGTAGCGGTGATGGTTGCACGACTCTGTGAATATATTAAACACTGCTGAATTTTACACTTTAAACAGGTTAAATTTATGGTATACAGATTACATATCAATTTTTAAATTGTTTAAAGACTAGAAAAAAACAAAACAAAACAGTGGGGGCTGCCTGGCCATCATTTGAGCCCTTTAAGATCTGGGGTATCAGGCTCAGAGAGGAAAAGCAGGAGGGAGCAGGGCGTGAGGGGCCTCAGGTTGCCCCTCTTCGAGGAATGACTGAGTGAAGCTCCTCAGGCAGAACCCCTGTGAGGGCTCTGTGCGAGGAAAGAATTCCTAATGCCCTCCCCTACTGTACACAGCCTCCCTCATCTCCCTTCCTCCCCAGGCCTCTCTATGGTTAGTAGCAGGTGAGTCTCCTCTCCAAGGCGGGTGCTCTTGTGCCTTTGGGCACGTAGTCCCTTTGGTCACAGGAAAAGCAGATTTTGGGTCTCTGAGCAGCCATACTGGGTCTTATGCTGGTCGAACAGTTTGTGCAGGGCATCCATATAGAGTGCATGGTATTTGTCCACCATCTCCTGGCTTGGCTTTTCAATTTTGGGCAGTGGCAGAGGCTCCCCGACTACCAAGAGAGATGGGAAAAGAGAAAGGGAAAGTGTTAGATCTCTTCCTTTAACCTCCTTCTCCTTCCCTGGGCCTGACCCTCTTGCTTCCCAAGTCAGCTCTCAGATTCTCCTCCTCTGCTGCTCTCTTCTTTGGTGGGGGTAGGGTGGAGAGGGCTGAGGTTGATGCTGAGAAAGAGCTAGGTGGCCTTGGGGCTGAGAGCAGCACTCACCCACAGTGATAATAGGTCGGGAGTATGGCAGTAGTCCAATGGAGCCTTTCCAGAAGCCTTGTCCGTAGAAGATACAAAAGTAGAAACCAAAGATACGGCGGAAGCAGCTCTGGAACTTGTACATCCTGCTATCCTGATGGAACAGCACCTGCTCATACACCTCGGTTTCTCCAAAAGTGAAGGTGGGGACCAGATGAGCCCTGTGGGAAGGCCCCGATTTATTTCCTAAACATGTCTAGGGTGGGAACCACCCTGGAAAAACATTTCTTCACAGCCACACCTCTGTGATAAAATCCCGGTGGTATAAAGCATTTCTTTTTGCACTAAACAGGGCTCCCCTGTTTAGTGTCTCTTGGCCTGGATTTTTCAAGGCCAGTGAGAGTGCTATCTCTGGGCCAGGATTACAAGGGTAATCCTGGGTAATATGAAGGTGCAGGAAGGAAAGAGGAGTTGGGCAGGGGTCCCCAGAGACCCACATTGTGAAAAGCTTCCAGGAGGTGTCAAGGAAGGAAATATTTGACTCTGTTTCTATTAGTTGAAAACACAGAGAAGATGATGATTTTGTATAGATGCTGATATATGATATGCCTCTCACCCAATGAGGCTATGCTTAAGGTACTCTGACCTTGGGTCATGGGATTAGAGCACAGAAAAGTTGTTTTCCTTCCACAGATCATGAGAATCCACCTTGAAGCCCTAGGTAGAGAATCAGGCTCCTTAAATTCCTTCAGTGAGAGAAAAGAGAACATAGTCTTTCTTATACAAATCTTTGTGAATTGCTAATAACAATCTCTCAGCACTTTGACATATGTTACTTTGCTCGCTCCTCACAGCAAAGACAGTGGGCGACATGGTGAGGGATACAGAAGGCCAGGTTCAGAAGGGGAAGCTCATCCAGGCAGTCAGTGAGTGACAGGACCTGGACTAGAGCCCAGGACTCCTTCCTCCCAGCTCAGAGCTCCCTCCTCTACATTATGCTTCAAATTGATGAACAGGACTCTTAGAAGAAAGGTCCTTAGAAGAAATACTCCCCTCTTCTCTGAGTCTGCAATAGGACGATTGTTCCTGTGTCCAGTAATCTGGCCTGCTGCCATCCTTGGGCTCCTGCTCTTTACCTCTAAGTTAGAGTAGCTAACATGTATTGATGCGTGCCAGGCACATGATAGGCATTTTATGTGGATGAATTCCTTTTAGGTACACAATTACCCTACAGAGTAGGTACAATTATTATTAGCCACGTTACGAAGATGAAAAACACGAAGGCTCAGAATGGTTAAGTACTCTGTTCCAGAGTGCATGGTAGGTAAGTCAGGGAGCCAGGACTTTAAATCAGGCCCCTGACTCCAGATCCCACACGCACACTCACTATACTGCACTGCCTCTGACACGTTCCATTAACAGACAGGTGTAGATATCAGTATTTAAAGCGATAATGTGGGCATCATCTACATGCTAGTCTGACCTTCTTTGGCTCAGAAGGAGTTGAACCACCTAAACCTTTTTGAAATTCTATGCCCATATTCCCTAGTCAGTAGTAAGTTCTCTGAGGGCAAGATTCGCGTCTGATTCGTCTTGGCATTGCCTACAGGGTCATGCTGCTCAGAGAAGGCCACCCACTCCTCCTCTGGGGGAAACACCTACCCGTGCTGGAGGGCTGTGCGTACAAATCCCTTGCGGTTCTGGAGGATCAGGGTGGTGGCGTTGGGCAGACTTCGCAGGGCCTCTCCCACACCTCCCACTACAATGCCCACGAGGTTGCCAGTGCCATGGCTCAGCAGGTAGTTGATGGCTGGCTGGCTCACAGAGCACACACCTGAAGAGAACCAAGGAGCAGAGGAGCAAAAAGATAAGGAGAGTAGAAAATGGCTGAGAGGGAACACCTCCTTTCTTGCTCTTCAGTAGCTTGTTTGTATGCCCTCTGTTCCCATGAGTCCTAGGAGGAGAGGCTCCCTGAGATGGAACTAAAGAAGTGTGGAGAAGAGAAGGCTGTAGGCAAACAGAACACGTTTCACTTGGAGGCAGTATCTCCGTATTTCAGAAGGCACTGGGTTGAAACTTTTTAGCGGAATAAACAAAATGACTTTCTGAATTCCAACTATAATTCTACCCTTTCCTTTTCCATTAATAGCACCTGCTATTAGTTATTGAGCACATCCTCTCTGGCAGGTGCTATATTGAATGCTTTACTTGCATTATCTCATTTAGTGATCACATCACATCTGAGGTTGGACTATTATCATCAGCATCACTTTACAGATGAGGAAACTGAGGTCTGTAAAGGTTATCTAGTTTTCCCAAGACCACACGGCAAGTGGCAGAGCCAGGATTCAAACCCAGGCAGTTCGGCTCCAGAATGTATGATTCTGACTACTATGCTATGGTGCGGGGAGGGGATGGGGCTTCATAGGAGCATTTCCAAGCAAAGAAGTGGACCAGAAGCTCCAGTAAGTATGGTCAGAAGCACCTTTGGCCATGAGGTAATCCCTAATAAGGGGGATCTTGAAGAACCAGGACAGCGTGGCCAAGTGAGGAGTGATGCCTGGGAAGGTCTTCGAGAAGCCTGTGGCCTCAGTGCAGAAGTTGCAGAAGGCGCCAAAGGTCAGGAGGCCATGGGGGTGAACCCCCATGAGGTAGTTGTGCTCAGGTGGCAGTTCTTTAGTCTTCAGAATCTGCAGCCATAGAGAGAAAGTCCAGAGGCAGTGGAATGAGATCACATGGGGAAACAGGGTGAAGATTTCAGGGGTTTCCAACAGATAGACCACAGATGAAAAGCCAAGATATTAGTTTCCTCAGCCCTTGGGCAACCAGGCAGGATCTCGGGCAACTAGAATTGCCAGGCCTCCTGCCTGTGGCTGCAAGTAGTCTTGGCCAGCTATGTCAGTGCGCTTTGTGCAAGTTATCTTTTTCTATGAGCACTGATATGTGAAAAAAGTTGGAAGTTCTGCTCTAAAAATCAGGGCAGTGTTTGTTGTCTACTCCAAAGAGTGCCCAGAGGATAAGCACAGCAGTACATTTCTGGAAGCTCTTCCTGGTATTTTCTCTCCCCCACTTCCCTTCCAGTGCCTGCCTAAGTAACTTTTATTGAACTTTGAAAACCTTGCTTAGATATCATCATGTCTTTGAAACCTTTCCTTATCCCCCATCTGAACTACTTCTGTACTGTAATTATGTACTTGTCTGTCCACCCCATTAAATGTAAGCTCCTTGATGGCAGAGAATTATCTCCTCTTCACTTCTGTGTATCCCAAACATGTAGTTCAGAGTAGACTTTGAATAAATGTTTGTTAAACTGAATTGAACTATATTTGCCTTCTTCCCCTGTCATCTGGCAGGTCATGCCAAGGGTGTTCAAAGTATCCTAGCAGGGTATAGAGTGCTCAGCAGAAATGTTGGATCCTGAAGTATATCTAGTCTGGACTGAGACTTCTCTGGGATGCTTATGTTCCTATGGACAACCCTAGTATTTTGGGAACTGTGAGGGCCATTGGGAAAGAGACACTTACTGTAATGGGGAAATAGTCCCTGATGTGGGTCCAGATGTGCCAGTTCCTTACCCAGGCTGAACGCCTGCCACCTGAGACAAAAATACCAGTAGGAGATGATGTCGATGTGTGCCACCCCATACCTCCCACTCACCCAGGGCTTCCCTAGTAGCAGGGAGGGACTGTGGCTCTGCAAGGGGGGTGAGAAGGGAACAGACCCCAGGATGGTCCTGGCTGGCCCAGCTGCTATGACTCTGAGAACTTGGATGAGAGGCCTGTGATGTGGTGAGTGGGACTCCCTGGTTGTGGGTTAAGGTGGAGCATTCTTTTTAGGTCCGTGAGTCTTACCTTGCTCTGGGGTCTTCCAATCCAGGAACAACCAGCCAAGGTAAAGTGCTGGTAGTGGCCACAAGGATGTAAACAGCAGGCAAATGAACAATGGCTGCAAGATCCAAACTGATGAGGGATCAGGTTAGACTAAATTTGTACCGCCAGCAGAACTTGACCCTGTCCAGTCCTATTACCAGCCGCCTGTACTACCCAAGCCTCTGGTCCTGGCCCTCAGCACAATCTAGCTCTTGCCCATCCATTACACGTGTCCACTTGTCATATTCATCATGACCCTATTTTACCCCTCTGCCCATTCTCACTGTCTCCTGGGGCTCTATCTCTTCCTTCTCCAGGGCACTCATGGAACTTAAGACTCCTTGGCTTTACTCTATAGTACCAGCTCAGATAATCAAAAGACCAGAAATGAGGCTTCCCATGGCCATAAAAATAACCCCAGATCTGGCCCTGGCCTCTGACTCTGGCTTCTTGCTGTGCACTCTTGGGTTGGTACTCACAGATGGCAAGGTAGCTCAAAGGCCAGTATAGAAGCATCAGACTCTGGAAGTGGTTAGGTTGCTTGGAATGAGGCATGGTGCCCAGGAGCCTGAGGGAGGCAGAGATCCCAGAACAGTGTTCCAACCAAAGGTGCTGCCAGCCTCTGGAAGTTCACTCAGTAGTGAATGCATGCGACTATGAGGAGTTTGCACCTGTCCTCTTCCCTCCTTGTCCTACCTCACAGTCCCCACCCACTACAGGGGCCAGTCTCTGGAGTGCAGAGGACTGCCCCATCAGGTCTGGGCCAGCCCATTTGCCTTTGACTCTCTTTCCTGGGACTACTAAGACATCAGGATGAAGGAAGGTAAGAATGACTGCCATCCAGTCTGAGTGACCGGAAGACCCAGAGAAGGGAAACACCTCACACAGGCTACTCAGAGACGATAGGGGTTATGACCTTAGTGAGATGACTGATGGGAAGGCAGTTCTGAGGGTTTGTGGGGTGGGGAGCACCTGGGATTAGGTCTCTGTTGCCCAGAAGCAGACTGGCTTAGGGCTGCCCCCCTTTTAACTTTTTATTATAAAAATTTCCACACACACACAAAACTAGAGAATGCAACAAATTTTCATCCTCATGTTCATCTTCAATGACTATTAACATTTTTCCATACTTGTTTCATCTGTCTCCCCACCCTTTTTTTCTCCTGGAGAATTTTAAAGCAAGTCTAGGCATCATGTCATTTCATCCCTAAATACTTCACTATGCATCTATAAAAAATACAAATATTTTCTTCCATAAAAACACCACTATCACCTGTAACCAATTTAATAGTTCCCTAACAATATCTAAAACCCAGTCCATATTCAAATGTCTTTTTATAGTTGGTTAATTTAAATCAGGATCCAAACATGGTTGGGTGGTTATATTTTTTTTTTTTTTTTTTTTTTTTTTTTTTTTTTCC